CTGTCCCTCAGCTCTTCAGCTCAAGGCTAGCGCTCTACCACTTGAGCCACAGTGCCACTCCCAGCTTTTTTCTTTTTGCTTATGTGGTGCTGAGGAATCGAACCCAGGGCCTCAGGCATGCAAGGCACTCGCTCTACCACTGAGCCACCTTCCCAGCCCCTTTAGTGACTTTTTTTTTGTATGTGGTACTCAGAGCCTCATGTCATCAAGTGATTTTACTACCATCATTTTGAAATTCAGTAATTGATTTTTCAGCATGATCAAAATTTATAAAAATAACCAGAATATAATTTGCTTTGGGCAAAATTATGATTTTCTAACTATTCTTTTTCAACAACTAAATTATAAAATAACCAATACTTCAAATGATTTCAGATTAGCTAATAACGAATGTATTTACTATCAAATGTATAGCTGTTACTACTAAAATACACAGTGATATAAAGATCTCAAATAGCATAAATTACTCTTTCAAATCCTATTTCATAATAGAACATAAAATGAAATAGAACTTTTAAATCTTTTTTGATATATCCTTCTGGAGTCTTAAAAAGGGACTCAAAATTTAATGGCCTTTTGAAATACATGTTAAATAGTATACAATTTGACTAGTGATGAAAGAAACAAGGACAGAGTTTTAAAGCAGCTTATTAAATCTGGAAAATAAACAGAAATATGACCCTTAATATTCTACTGGCAGTAATGAGATTGCTGGGAAAGTCTATTGGGTTTAATTCTGGTGATTCTGATACTTGGCAGGGTTGCCAACCCATTCTTCTATCTGAGTGGTGTCATATGAAATTCCATAACATTAAACTAACTTATGGAACAGCTAGATGAAAATATCCAGCAGGTAGTTGGAACTAAGAGTCAACATTCAAGAAAGATGTCACGCTTAGAACTGCAAATACTGGAGTTATCCAAAATAAGAATGGAGGCCTTTTTGTGCCTATAAAACAAAACATGAGGGCTGGGAAGGTGGCTCAGTGGTAGAGTGCTTGCCTTAAATGCATAAGGCCCTGGGTTCGATTCCTCAGCACCACATAAACAGAAAAAAAAGCCGGAAGTGGCGCTGTGGTTCAAGTGGTAGAGCGCTAGCCTTGAGCTGAAGAACTGAGGGTCAGTGCCCAGGCCCAGAGTTCAGGCCCCACGACCAGACCAAAAAACAAAAAACATGATATTTTTTGTTTTTTAAGACTTATTCTACAATCAACCCTTCCAGACTTAGCCACTTTTTTTTTTAAAAAAAACAGAGTCAAACACTGAATCCTCCTGCCTCTCATTCCTGAATGCTGGGATTATAGGCATGTGCCACCACATCAAGCTGATATTTAGCTATTTCAGGCTTTTGTTAGTTATAGGACTTAAACTCGGCCAAGTCACTATCCCTGAGCTCTTTTGCTCAACACTAGCACTCTATCCTTTGAGCCACAGCTCCACTTCCATTTATCTATTTCTATAAGACTAGACTTGAAACTAGACTATCTATATGTTCTTTACTAGGCATGCTCATATGTGAAAATTTCTGTAATTTTGCTCATCTTAGCATCAAGGGCAGCTTGTCTCCTATTAAATTTATATGTGTGACTGCAGTTGGGCTCAGCACAAATTCAATGATGTAACAGACATAGGTAATAATTATGGGTTAGCTCTGCAACAATGATCAAGTGATCAGAAAGGTCATTTTACTCAAGAAAAACAAGGATAAATGGAGTAAAAGTATATCTATCACTGAGTCAAACAAATTCTCTATTAAAATGGGCAATTAGTAAATTGCATGATATATGAATTTTATACCTCAGTAAAGAATAGACAAAATAAAAACTGGTGTGTTCATGCAGACATGGGTGGGATTAGAAAGCGTTGCTTAGCCAGAAGCAGTTGTCACTCCAGTCAGGTCTTCAGTTGTCCCTGAGCTCTGAGCTGATGCTAGATGGCTTTGTGGATTAAGACTATGATTGTCACATACTTGACTGCCTGCTAACCTTAGCAAGGGCATCACTGACAATGTCGAGATCATGCCGCAGGTCGTTCATGGCGCTGGTTATGCTCTTGGTGTCTTTCAGGATCTGAATACTCTGCGTATATGGATTATACTTCACTCCAAATGTACGCTTAATTGTTTTGGTAAATTCTCTATTTCAGAAAACAAGTATGAGACTGTCAGTTTCTTGAAAACAGGCAATGATGAAAACTAAACATATAACAACCAAAAATAAACCTATTTCACAGAGTAGACAAAAAAAACAAGTCTTTATTCAATATGTGGACAGCCAATGTAGTCTTTCCTACCTGCCTGTGCAGAGGCCCCATAGAATCCAACAGGTAGGAAACCCTAAAGTCCCCTGACATTATTAGAAAAGAACCTAGAGATCACTTTCTTCATGATTACTACTTTATATATCCTTTGGATTCCTTTTCTTTCTTTCTTTCTTTCTTGCAGTGCTTGGAATAAAAACCTAAGCCACATGCCAGGAAGTGCTAAGCCACAACCCTGCTCTCTTTACTACACTAAGGATAGTAACCACAGTAGATTTATCTATCAGTAGGTAATGACATCACTTGACTATGTGTAATCCTCAGCTATATTCTACATCATATATCTACACACACACACACACACATACACAGAGTGAAGGCATGCTGGGAAAGCCAGAAAGAGTCCTGCCTCTTACATACTTTCTACTTAGAATACTCTAGCCTCCTCTCAAATAAGTTAAATGCTACTCTGTCTTTAAGCCTCCTTTATCATTTGAATTGCTCCATGGTAGCTTCAATAACTAACGATCATGTTCAGGACTCCTAAGGGTAATTGTGCAGCTAAGTATAATTGGACATGAGTAGGAACTGAAATCCAGGTTTCAACCAATTTGGTTGAAAAATGGTCCCAAGAGGGGACCACTTCTAATTTGCATAAAGGTATCATCTGTGCTAGAAAAAGCCCTGCTGGAATTGTGTACTTCTGTGCATGGATTAACTCCTCAACAATAGCCAATCCTTAGAAACTAAGGAAGAGGCCTTCAATTCCTATCTGTTCCTTCCTCACAGTGTGACCAAATGTTGTTTTGTTAATTCTGCTTATATAGTCCTTTCCTTTCCTTCTACCTCTATCTTATTTCACCTGAAGACCAAAAGAAAGTCTTCCAAAAAGTGTTTCTGTGAACAATATTTTATTTATTCACAAGCGTAAAGTATACTCCAATCATAGTGGCTCACACTTGCTACCCCAGCTACTCGGGAATCAGAGATGGGAGGAGGATGATTCAAGACCAGCCTAGAGAGCCAAGAAATTAGTGAGACCCTATTAAAAAAAAAAAAGTAGCCAGGTGCCTGGTGGCTCACACCTGTAATCCTAGCTACTCAGGAGGCAGATCTCAGGATTGTAGTTCAAAGCCAGCCTGGGCAGGAAAGTCCATGAGACTCTTATTTCCAATTAACCACAGAAAACCAGAAGTGGCACTGTGAGTCAAACTTATAGAACTCTAGCCTTGAATGAAAAAACTCAGGGAAAGCACCTAAGTCCCAAGTTTAAACCCCACAAATAATAATAATAAATACGCTGAGTATGAAGGAAAATGTCTATGATCCTAGTTACACAGGAGGCATAGCTAGAAGGATCATGGTTTGAGGCTGGCACAGGCAAAATCATAAGGCTCGGGGCTGGGAAGGTGGCTAAGTGGTAGAGCACTTGCCTTGCATACATGAGGCCCTGGGTTCGATTCCTCAGCACCACATAAGCAAAAAGAAAAAAGCCGGAAGTGGTGCTGTGGCTCAAGTGGTAGAGTGCTAGCCTTGAGCTG